AGTAATTTATGTTAAAACTAAATCAAACACTTTGTGAGTTATTTTGAGCGTCTTTTGCTTTCGACAATGGTCATCACATGTTTCTTTTCGTTTATTAAAAAAAACCGATACCAACTTTTTTTCATGCGACGTAATACATTTAGCGCCAGCACGGTAACTGTATTATAGATATTTTCTGTTTGTAAATCTCTAGTTCGAAACGATCTCCCTCTCTCATCAGGTGGGGATTAAGACACGACGGCCTGAATCGAGGATCAAACCACCTCGGGGTGGCCTCACACTATTTAAACACTAACGTATTCGACAGGTAGGAGACAGCGAAAGGCCGCTATGTAAGTCCTTCTGCGGGTTTGAAATGTCGTATGCACTCGTCCCATTTTTCATCCGGTGAAGCTGCAATCTTTTGTCATAACAGCATTAAATGGTTCGAAAATAAAAAAAAAAAAACATTGTAAATCTATTTAAACCATTCTTTTTTAATAACTTGTTTTTGATATTCATAGCATGTAGATGTAAGGTGTATATAATAGATAGATTATATTTATTTGTATATAATGTATACATACAATTTTGTAAATAATTAATTTATATCAATAATTAATGAACTATATTCAAATTTTAAAATGTAAATAAATCTTCCATTATAATAAAAACAAAAAAAAAACATTATTTGCCAATATGATTTCGTCACATATAAATAATGAAGATATTCATTAAAATACCAGACCGAGGTTCACAGTTACACAGCCACTCGAGCGTGGCACTGTGTGGCCACTTGACGTTACTATCAGGCCAGAATTTGATGGACATTAACACTAATTGGGCCATGCTGCGTTACTTTAGTTGCACTCATAAATTGTGTTAACGCAATTTTATGGGCAGAGTATTTTTTTGTCGTGCATCAAGTTCATAAAACATTTTATGCTGCAATTTGTTTTGTTGTGAAAATACTTATTTATCTTATTTTTTTTTTTATACAACTTAGAATGGCAAACAAACTGACGGCCCACCTGATGGAAAGTGGTAACCGTCGCCTATAGACATGAGCAGAACCATGGACATAACAGTATACTGTTTCGCCTATGATACTCCCCATGCGTTGCCATTCCTGAGGACTCAGATGTTATTCCTCTGTACCCTGTAAATTCACGTCATATTCCACTCTTCAAACCGAAACACAGCCATGCAAACACAACTGCTTCACGGTAGAAACACGAATGGGACAGAGGTACTCAAGCAATCGACTTTTGTACAAAGTCTCCCTCTGGTAAATTATCTATACTAGTGGTCGCACAGTAGTCGAAATTTGACCATAACGTGTATTGTAATAAATGAATTTATTATGGTTATGTTTGACATTCGGTAAGACTATAGACAAATAATATTAAAAACAAACAATATAAATCTATTTTTAATTTGACCACAGACTTTAACCATAAACAAAAGAGTATATATGCGTGTGTGCGTGTGTGTGTGTTTTTTTTACAACACAGGGGGCAAACGAGCATGCAGCTCACCTGATGGTAGGTGACTACTGCCGCCCATGATCACCCACAACACTAACGGCATTGCAGGTGTGCTGCCGGCCTTTTAAAAAGGAATATGCTCTTTTCTTGAAGGTTATGTTGTCGTATCGTATCAAATACATGGCAGTTTGAGGGAAAGAGATTGTTGTAATGCGGTTGTAAGTCCCATTGCTAGAAATATACCCTGTCAGGTCCTCCGACCTCCACGTGGTCCCCCCTGGAAACCGTCGTGGTGAATTCTAGAGAAAAACTAGAAACTCTATGTCTAAACTTTTCCGATTAAAAAAGAAACAATAGAATCAATTGGCAAAGATAACGTGTTACATAAAAAAAAAAGAAATAAATACATTTTAGATGAAATCTCTTTTTTTGAAGTCGATTAAAGAGTCTTCGGTACCGTATTATGCGTTAGACTAGTCAAGGAAATGGACGAAATAAGGGACTCGCCAATTGTTTCCGTCCGATTATTATGTATGGAATTAGCATGAAGAAAGATAGATAATAAAATAAACAGAGAATCGAACCCACTATACGTATAGATAAAATAATAAACTCTGTACCTACGTTAAAGAAGCAAAGCGTAGTATTGCATAGTGATTTCCAATTCGTTATGGTTTGTTTTATAGTTTTATTGTCCGGAACACGTGCTTAATCTTATGATCACGTTTATATGAAAAATGCAGTTGTTTTTTTTTAAATTTTAACCGACTTAGAAAACGGAGGTTCTCAATTTGAACTTACCTTTTTAATACTTTTGTCTGTATGTTACGTAATATGTTTGTCTCAACTTTGAATCAACTCTGATGATCATCATTATAATCATTATCATCATAATCATCATCATCACAACTTATATAATGTACACTGTTGAATATAGGTCTCCCCCATATTACGCCAAAAAGTACTTACGATCTTGCACCACTTGCATCCAGCGACATGCATTCAGCGATTATAAAGAGGAAAGATTTGATTGTTTGTTTGTAATGAATAAACTCAAAAACTAATCGATCAATATAATTACACTTATTATTTCATAATATGTTAAATTAATAAATGTTCTCTCTCTCTCTTTTCATTTAAAAGTTTCCTCTTGTCGGTGCAACTAATTCATGCATCTTCTTCCAGCCAGCTCTATCCCAGGCCATATCCTTGACTTCCCTATACGACATGACACATAATATTTCTTTTTTTTTGTCCCATGTAAAACAAGCTACAAACAACAACTGGCAAACAAGCATACGGCCCACCTGATGGTAAGCGGTTACCGTAGCCTACGAACGCCTGCAATACCAGGTCTTACGCGCGCGTTGCCGACCCTGAAGAAACCTCTTTACCCCCCTTTTGAAGAACCCATGCTGTAGTCTCTTGGGAAAACCTCCGCAGGGAGCTCTTTCCATAACCTGAGTGTTCGTGGGAGAAAACATCTCTGAAACCACGTTGTACGCGACCATTTAGGCTGTAAGGTATGAGGGTGAACTGCCTGTCGATTGCGAGCCGTGTGATGATAGAAAGTGGCCGTAGGCATCATATTGAATAATTCCTCTGAGCACAAACCGTTGTATAAGCGGTAAAACTATAAGATATATATATATATATATCTTATAGTTTTGGTCTTATATGTATATATATATATATATATATAGAATACTTCGACAATATAAAATACTGTTTGGATTAAACACGGGTTTTTTTACGTGGGTGCAGTGGTATGTGTTGATTCCGAGTTGATTCGAGAAAAAAAAATACCATTTCTTTACACGTTAATCATTACAGCTGATCATAATCAACGGTTCCGTATAATTAATGGGCGGTTTATTGTAATAAATCTAAAATTATATTCAGTTTTGAAGTAGTTAACACTTAGACGTGTTAGTAAATTATTATTGAACTATCAGCATTCAAATTATATTGATCGTGTATGGCCTTTTTTGTGGCAGTTCAATCTTTGTTTTTTTGAGAGAGCTCGAAAAATTTATAATCGATCGGGAAGAAAGGTTCTCGAATGGCAACTCCGTACGGGCAAACGCAATATAGGACGACCCTCCCTACTAGATGGAGGGACGATCTCAAATGCATTGCAGTGAGTCAGTGGTGCAAGTGGCTCAGTACCGTTCCATATGGCAGTCTATGGGGGAAGGCTATGTTCAACAGTGGATAGATAACATCTGATGTGATGATATGATGATTTATGTATTACGCGTAGGTAATTAACTATATTAAACTGATAAAATGTAATAATTAACGTCACTCGCGGAACTACACGATTGTCATTCAAAATGTCCGTTACGTTTCTTTATCTATGGCGCGGTAGGTGTTGGCCGGGGTCAAGGCGCGCGATAAGGTGAATGAAGCTCAAATAAACACTGCACTCCGATACAGTGTTGCCAGATTGGCTATTTTTTTCGCAATTTTTGGTATTTTTTTTTTATGTTGTATACATTTTGGAGAAATTAAATTATTGTATAGAGAGTTTTGTGGGTAATATTTTTAATATTTTTGATATTTGTAAATAAAATAAAGTACCACTGAATAATATATAAAATAAAATTAAAAAGTGATATTAACGCAGAGATCGGCGATTTCTTTTCATTATTCACGTAGTACGCTTCTCATATCATGTACATAAAATAACTTTTAAAAATTAATTAGCTAGTATTTTTATTTAATTGCATCTAAACATGTGCAATTACTTAAACAATTATCTTCATCTACAATACAATTGAGAAAAAAAGATTATCGAAACGACAATAATAATCCTTTAGTAAAATCGGACAAAAGTGAAGAAATCGTATTAAATTATGAAAAAATATTTTTTAAATTTCATAACAAAAAAAGCATCTGGCAATGCTGCTCTGATATCAAATTATTTTTATGTGTCCAACGGCGGCAGGTCAATAAGATGCTTTATCTAAGAGGCCATTTTCTTTCTCCATAAATCAAATCGTAAAATTGTGCCAATTCACAGCGGAAGTGCGGGTCGTTGACATAAATGTTCCTTTTTTAAATTAGTTTATAGAATTAGATTTAAAACAATTTTTTAATTTTTACAATGTGTTTTTTTTTTTAATCTTTTTTTGTTATTCTTTAGCCTTATAGTTTTAAAAGTAAAATTTAAATAAAATAGATAATATTTTTCGGTACTATAATATTTTAAATGAACTGATTAAATAACTAATTAAACAATTGAAGCCACTTTATTTACACATGCGCAGAATCTTTAACTGTCATTATAAATGCATAATAGAATGAATCATTGTATTAAAGTTCGTTGAAGTGTAGATCATTAGATATGATAAAAGTACTTAATAATAATTATCAAATAATTTATCATTGCGACACATATAAAAAAATATTTAAATAACTTTATTTTTATAAATTTAATTGAAAAAATAAGTTATGCACAAAACTAACTTCATTAAAAAAAGTTTTTCACATTTTAATAATTCGTTATTATAAGTACTAATAGTGACTTACCAAAAATGCCCAATTCTATCGGCTTTCTAGCCGTGAAAATAAAAGCGCTGCGCACACAACTTTGGGCATTATTTTAAAATCCAATTTGAAAATAATGTTAATACCACTTCACAAGCACTAGCACAATAATACAAAAATAGAATAAAACTATTCTTCCGAAAAATTGCGTATTCGGTCGAAAATATAAACTTGTAAGAAAATTTTGTATTTCGAAAATCGAACGTTAATTCGCGTATTTGAAATTAGTAGCGCGGGATCGTGGATGCGTTAGTAAACCGCGCCGTGCAATCGCCGACTGGCTTGTCGGATTTGGCGTTCTCAACTCGAGCACTCTGCTGATGCGTTGTAGTTGTGATTCTCACACGGGAGCTGGGAGTTATCGAGAATGAAAAAATTAGAGGTACATGCGTACCTAGTCTCTAGATTATGCCGGTGGTAACGGATGTAAATATTTACCTATGTCAATTGTCGTTCTGAAATTACAGTAAATTTAAGTTTTAAACTGTAATTTCTGGACGTTTTAATTAAGTGGTAGTACTTATAAGAACTAATTAAAGATCCACTGCTAGACACAGGTCTAACAGGGTAGATAACTAGAATCAATATATGACGTTAAGGCTGTCTAGGATTAGGAGTATACTGAAAAAGGAAAACAATAAACTTAATACAGCAATATGCCAAAAAAAGTTAGCAAAGAGTTCGCTACAACACGAATACTAAATTTGTTCCTTTTATTTGTTAACAAAAATAATATTTTTATGTATGCCATCTATTACTTAATATTAACTTGATTGTATTTGTACATTGTTAGTGTTATTTTGAGCTTCTCATTTTAACACAACTATTCGTTAACAGGTGGTGCTATATTGCTGCTACTCGTTCAGAGATGGCGCTAGTTGTTCTGTTAATTATTTTATATACAGAGCACGTTCTCAATATTGAAGTTGATAGCGAATTTATTATATTTTTTTTTAGAATATATAATTGATTCAAAATGTAAATTTTATTGTTATTACTGCTAACTGCATAAATATACTTATAAAAAAAATCATAAATTTATACAACTCGAATGATAAATAAAACTTAGAGTATGCACATACATACACAGTATAAGATGCCGTCTGTCCATAAATAGGTAGCAGTTATTACTTATAAATAATATTAATAAATTTATATTATATATTTAGATGCTATTGTGGTTTCGTTGAGTCAACTAACTGATAATACACATATGTACCTAATTCTGAAATAACTTATTTGTATATAATTACTTGGTATTTGGCTTTGAGTAACATTATAGAAAAGGATGAAAAGATATTGCTAGTAATGAGATTCAGTATAATATACTCTATCTCTCTCTCTCTCTCTCTCCACGCGATCTTCTGGAAATGATGGTTATTTTTTGAATGGATGAAAATGGAATGATAACCCCGTCTGTATTATTGGCATATCAGCAGATCAGCAGAAATATCATTCCATTAAAATACCCGTTAAAAAAAAAACAAATTATATAGCGTCATCTAAGCTTCGTTCGAAACTAATCTGACCTTGTTATAAGGTACTAGGCAGTTTATACGTATGCTTATATGAGCGTATATACTCTATATGAGCTCCCTGCCGAGGTTTTCCTAAGAGACTACAGCATGGGGTTCTTTAAAAGGGGAGTAAAGAGGTTTCTTCAGGGTCGGCAATGCACGGGTAGTGCCTCTGGTATTGCAGACGTTCATAGGCTACGGTAACCACTTACCATCAGGTGGGCCGTATGCTTGTTTGCCACCTTAGTGGTATAAATAAAAAACACTTTTTTTAGTAAACCCCTTTTTAAAAAAAAAAAAATTCCCACAGCGATAGAAATGGACAAATTCATAAACACAAACGTTTCTATTGTATGTGTTTATGGTATTGACCCGGAGACCATAGGAAATTGAGCAGTTAAACTGTTTTACCAACGTCTATCGTAACATTATGTAGTCATATCATACCAGCTGTTAACTGTCCACTATTGAACATAGGTTTCCCCCATAAAAGGGGGATTTTGCCAATAGTTGCCACGCTTTGCAGATAGGTTAGCAACCGCAGTTAACTTTTGGAGATGTTTTAAGAGGGACGTTGCTGCCCATTCCTCGACCATTAAGCACCCTTAGTCGCCTGAAGGAATGGAAGGAGCGGTCCATTCTATGCCGGGGCAACAAGACTATTATGTAGATATCATTTTTAAATTTTATTGACAAAAGGAATCGAACTCAGTACTGAGACACAAAGTTCTAGGGATTGTTATTTAAGAAAACATGAAGTTAGTTATTAATGGAGACTAAAGGCCCCATTGTTAGCAATATTACCTATTAGGCTGTCTTCCTGATATGATATGTGGTGTCCACCGTAGGTGTTAATTCAGTTGGGCCATAGCGAAGAATTCCTTAGTTATTAAATACGATGGTATCGCTTGAAAGTGATTCTAACTGAGTAATGATTGTTGACATTAATGAGTAAGACAGAATGAAGGAAATAAATTTATTTATTAATAAATAAATTAATATATTTATTTATTTATAAACTTTATTTATATACAAACTTTAATGCACAGTGTAAATTTATGTACATTTAGCGGACTTAACACCGTACGGTGTTCTCTACCAGTCAACGATTGGACAAACAGAGAAATAAGTAGAAATAAATAAGTAAGTAAATAAATTTAATGTTTATTTTAAACTTGTGCATTGTTTATACATATTTTAAATTTACGATCTGGTCTTAAAATGACGCGATTGAAAGTAAATAGTACCTACGTATGTAGGTACTATTTACTATTTATTTACTATTTACGGTAATAAAAATCAGGTATGTATATACCTGATTTTTATTACCGTCGTTTCCATGTGGGTTACACCACGTCGCGGTTACGACAGGAGTAAAGTGAATTTAAAATTTAATATTACATTCTTTATGCAACTTAGAATGTCAAACAAGCTGACGGTCTACTTGATGGAAAGTGGTAACTGTCGCCTACCAGTACCATGGACATATCAAAGAGTACTTTGTGTAAGTTGCCACTTCTGACGACGAAAGTTTTTTTCTAATAGATGATTATAAAATGGTAAACCCACTACACAACAATCATCAGAGGGAGACTTTGTACAAAAGTCGATTGCTTGGGTACCTCTGTCCCATTCGTGTTTCAACCGTGAAGCAGTTGTGTTTGCATGGCTGTGTTTCGGTTTGAAGGGTGGGATATGGCGTAAATTTACTGGGTACGGAGGAACAACATCCGAGTCCTCAGGAATGGCAACGCATGTGGGGTATCATGGGCGAAACAGTACACTCTGTTATGTCCATGGTACTGCTCATGTCTATAGGCGACGGTTACCACTCCGTTAGCTTACCAGTCCGGTGGGCCGTTAGCTTGTTTGTCATTCTAAGTTGTATAAAAAAAAATCCCGTCTGTGCTACCAGTATACGCTTGCGGGGACGAGACGAGAATGAGAAGGCAGGTCAGTCAGCCCATCGTAATTAATACACCTGGAATTCAGCACAATTGTTTCCAGGGGAGACCATGTGGAGGTCGACCTGATAGGATATATTGCTAGCAATGTAACTGGTAATCCGTATTACTAACAATCCCAGTAACTTCATTGTCATATCACACTCTTCAAACTGAAACACAATTTTTTTGAGATAGGGCAATATTAACATATATTCTTTATTGCACTTGTAAGTTACATATAAAATAATGCATTTATAAATGTTGTGAGCAAGGGTGGACTTATCTCTGGCAGAGATCTCTTCCAGTCAACCCAGTCTCTGACAGAGATCTCTTCCAATCAACCCAATACAGTGAGAAGGCATGTCGTTAGCGGGCAGCTGAAGTGCTACAACTATTAATACATAAACAAATATACAGTTAAATAAAATATTAAAATATATAATAAAATATGAAATCACGTTTGTAAATCTTTACATAGTTTTTTTTTTTATTTATCAATTTAATCCGTTGTGATTCACATTAGGTTACTAGGTACAGAAATATTGAGATGATTTCTCGCGATGAGTAAGCCATTGTAATATTTGATAGTCGGCGCCGGTCGTCACTGATTATTTTCTGAGAATTGTACTGTATTATTTGTGAATAAAAAATAAAATTTTTGGTGTTGCCTGTATAATAAAATGCAATACACGAGGACTGTACAGCCGTGTAGGTCCTGCCATAGAATAGGCCACCCCTTCCTTTCCCGTGGGTGTCGTAAAAGGCGACTAAGGGAGCTTATACTGGAGGGATGGACAGCAGCGTCCTTTTTAAAATATTAAAAGTCAAACTGCGGTTGCCAACCCGTCTGCCAAGCGCTGCAACTACTGGCAGTCCCCTTATGGGGGGAAAGGGATTGTTAGCAATGGAGATTGACAGTCCCATTGCTAGCAATATGCCCTATTAGGTCGACCTCCACGTGGTTCCCCCTGGAAACCATCGTGAACAATTCTTGTTGAATTCGTCACGATGGACTCACTGGCCTGCTTCATCCTCACCAATCATCCTTCACTGGTGTATACCGATAGCGCGGGTGGGGTTACCATTCCATTATCATCCATTAAAAAAAATACATGAGGAAGACTTTATACATTTATATCTATATCTTTTATCTTCGGTCCATTAAGCAGCTATACTTGCATGGTTGTGTTTCAGTTTGAAGGCTGGGATATGGCAGTGGAATTCAGCTGCCATATCCCAGCCTTCAAACTGACAGCCTTCAACAAAGTACGGAGGCATAATAACGTAGTCCAGAGGAATGGAAAAGTAAGAGTGTTTTTTTTTTTATTAGATGACAATGGAACGGTAACCCCACCCGCGCTATCGCTGTACGCGGAGAAACAGTAAGGAATGATAGGTGAGGATAAAAATAGGTCTATAAGCACAGGAGGGATTACCATTCCATTATTATCAATTAACTACATGGGACAGATAAAGGGAACACTAGGCGTCATGTCGTATAGGGAGATAAAGGATATGGCCTGGGATAGAGCTGGCTGGAGGAAGATGCATGAATTAGTTGCACCGACAAGAGGAAACTCTTAAATGAAAAGAAGATTATCAAATATAATATAAAAAAAATCTAACGAGTACTACACGTATATTAAAGTGTTTGTAAGCGTGTTCAAAATTAACCTTTTTATATATTGACAATTGTAGTTTTTTATCACTTATTATGTATATAAAATGTGCTGGTTCTTGTTGTATATAGGTATTATTTATTATTTATATTAATTGTAAAATAAAATTACCGTCTGTTGACTTGAAGTATATAATGTATTTTTTTGTTCTATT